AGTCTCAAGTCTCGTCCTTTGGAGTCACGGAACCCCTGGCAGGTGCCCGACCGCGCTGGCTCGGCAGAAAGCCAAGGGCACGCCGCGCTGGTGACACGGGGCAGGTCAGCTGCGGCGGGAACAGGGCTGGGGTTCCGCAGCCGGTGAAGTACGCGGGTCAGTTACGGTCACTTACGGAGGGACCGCGCGCAGGACCTGGTCCGCATTCGTCCTCGCTGCTTACGATGGCTCACCTCCTGCCTTCCTCCGGCCAGTTCTCTCCCATCGCCCTCTACTCCCACTTTTCCTCCACAGTCTACAGGTGAGCACCCCGCACGAGGCCAGCAGTTCCTAATCACGGAGACGGTCCTTCTGCTTCCGAGAGGCCCTCCATCTCGTCTGGTCAACCAGGATCGCAACAGCTTCGCATTCGGCAACTAGCTATCTCAGCAGCGTTTTTATTGTTGTGGTTGTTTGGGGGGGATCCTTTCAAGGGGAGTGTGGTTTCTGTAGGCATACCCACCCTTTCTTACCTAAGCCAACAGATGTGTTAGCAAGAATTATTTCAAATCAGGAAGCTGGTGGCTGGCCTCCTTCACAGATGTTCCACCTTAGCTTTCATGAGCACATTGTATTCTTTCTGATTCTGTCTCATCTTCTATCTCCTCAGCTGGAAATGCCCAAAGTGGGAAAACCACCCATCCTGTTACGCCTCTTGTCTGAGTGTCATTATGAATACCAAGCCCTTTCATTCTCAAGTGTCCCAGATGGGGCAATAAATTATATATAGTTACCTTATGTCTGAGAACCACTGATAAGCTAGCTAAAATGCAGATTCCCAGGTCCTGCCCTCAGAAGCATTCAGCCAATCTGGGGTAGTGCCCAGGAAACTGGAGTTCCAACAGCGCAGGTGATTCTAACACAGGTATATATTCAGAAATAGTGGCTTCATCATAGAGCAGAGACATTCGCATGGAAACCTGGGTGTGGCTCCACAGAGGCCTGAAAACAAAAATCAGTGATTTATACACTGTGCTCTTCTCCTCCTTTTTATGTAAAGCACTGAAACTGGTGAGGAGTGAAGAGCAGTGGGACTGTTTTCACTGTTAAGACACATGCACCAGTTGAGAGACAGAGCGATCTCTAGTAATAGCTATTACAAAGATAAAGCACATGTCTTGGTAACACTGTCTCTGCATCTTATTTTTCCTTCTCTTTGGTCACCATTTGTTGGTCTAATCCAGTTTTAACGTGTAATTTTGCCTGTCTGAGTCCTTTTTATGTTCTCACGTTTTGTTCTTCCCTTTTCTCTTTCCCTCCTATTTTGTTTTTGCTGTTGCTGCTTGGAGACGCCTAAAATGTGTCCCAGGCTCCAAGTCTAAGTGTCTGTGAAACTACATATAATTCACAATGATCTCTGTCCATAGTTTTGTTCTTAAAATTTTTAATGCAATTAAAAATAGATCACTACAAGTGTTTAACCACTTGGGCTTCGCTTTTCTCACGTAGGTATGAAATGGGTAAATTCAAAATTTCTTCCTAAAGCTAACATTCTCTGATTCTGTGTTAAAAAGCCCCTACAGCACAACAAAATACTTTCAATGATCCCATGATGCTTACCAAACAAAAACCAAATGCACAGCAAAGTGTTCAAGGACCTCTCAATCTGGCCCCCACTCCTGCGCTTCCTTATAAGAGCTCCATGACCTGCCAAATTGGAAAACGCAGGGCTCTTGAGCCTATCTTTGTTGGGCCTTCCTCACCCTGTTGCCTCTGCCTAAAATACTTTACTCTATCCTCCATCTCCTTCTACAAATAATCTACTTTTCGCTCAACTTCTAACCCAACATTTAACCAATGATACACATGTATACTGGTATAGATTTTATATTTCAAAATTGCTCCTGAGAAAGTACTTCATATTTTATAATTTTGACTTTAGATATACTTTTTTAAAGATTTTTTTTTGAGAAAGTGAGCAAGCACGAGTGGGGGTAGGGGCCGAGGAAGAGGAAGGGCAGGAAGCTGAGCGAGGAGCCCAAATGGGGCTCGATCCCGGGACCCTGGGATCATGACCTGAGCTGAAGGCAGACGCTTAATCAACTGTGCCATCCAGGTGCCTGGACTTTAGATATACTTTTATTTTAAAATATCCTCAGAGATAACTTTTGTCTCACATAGGAAAAATATAAAACAATCTTCCACTATAAATTATGCTTTTTAAAGGAAAAGTATTGTCAGATATAGAAAATAGGAGTCATTTCCAAATACAAAATGTGGACAGAGACTTGGTTCTCCTTTAGTCCTGACTTCAAATAAAAATTACAGTGAAAGACAGTCTTCAGGGCTCTTATCTACAGCTCCAGACAGGTTTTGGTTGCAAAACTGTCAGCCATTTCTTGACATACACTGTCCAATCTCCTAACAGTGCTCAGAGGGGTGCTGGACTATCCCTCAAGGACCAATAAGGCATTTTAATTGGATTTGAATTAATATTTCTTATAATTGTTCAGCCGTAAAACTAACTACTCTTTCAGACTGGACTTTCGAAGGCACAGGGAGGGATGGTTACTCGTTTACCCAGCACCTGAAAGGAGATCAATGCCAGAGATTTCATGGGTTGAATGAGAACAGCCAGGGCAGAAACAGAAAAGAGACAAGTGAGGGTAATGCAGGAATGTAAAAGGGAAACAACTGAGACAGAAACAGTGTGAGGCCCTTAGAGGCCACTGTCCACAGGCTACAGCAAACATCAGTGTACCACGAATGACAAGTGTGCACCCAGATAAGAGAATTAGCGTAAGCGAATTAGAGCAATTAGTATCAGAGAACACGTAGTTAGTTTGGTGAACTCTAAGTCATTTAATCATGTTAACCATCACTGCATTCTAAGCGGTGTATGTCTCTACAGCATATATAACATCTTTTGTTTCTTGGTATTTCATCAGTTGTTAAGAAAATTCAGAATTTTTGAGAAGCTGTGAACAAAACAAACCAAACATCCAATATTCAACTGCAGGTGTAAAAACAGTCCATTAGAAATACATCCTTTAAAATCCTGATCTGTTCAGATTTTAAATCTTTTAAGAGCTGATATAATAGAATTATCCAAACATGCTGCTTCGGCATATGCAGAGGCATTTGAGATACTTACAAACTCGGGTTATAATAGTATACGTATTATATTATTATATGGAATATATATTTACCGGAGAAGTTGATTTTATTTCAAACTTAAGTCTACTATATTTTCCTTAACCTCACTTTAAAATCCGTATGTATTTCTTTTGGAAATAATTTAACCTCAAGACACACTAAAATACACTCTTGAGAAAATTTAAGATTTTTGGTAAGACCTATAATTAGCCACGAATGGCAGCAGAAGTGGTTTGATATGTTATGACTAAGGATATACAATAGAGCCAAATACACGAGACTGAAAACCACCCCCATCATTTCTGCATTTCTCTGTACAAGAATTAGGTGCAACTGCAGCCCAAGCTCTGTTTCCTAGCTCATGTGGAAGTTGTCATTTTAAACAGAGTTTGCTTGAACCACATTTGGGAAGAATGAAACAATCTGTGACCTTTTAAAGTAGTGACTGTGCATCTATGGGAGTGTGTTAAAAACCGTGGGGCACCAACAAATGAAATACCGTCCACTTGTAAACAGAACGAGACGGCTCTGTTTCACGAGCACAGCGAGGTGTGGAAAAGTGCCGACAGTATCCCACCTGTCTGTGTAATAGAGGAGATAAGGGGATATACAGTCACATTTTCTTGTATTTACATAAAGAAATATTGAAGATACGTAAGATACTAGAAAAATGGCTACATATAAGGCAAAAGATAGGCTCCCTTTTAATGTTGTTCTGATTCTTGAATTGGATGAAGACGGAGTTCTCTTTCTTGAAAAGTCCCTCTAAGCAAATTCAAATTTAAAGGTTAAAAGTAATCGGGTTGCCTGGCTGGCTCTGTCGGTGGAGCACGCAGCTCTTGATCTTGGGGTTGTGAGTTGGAGCCCCACGCTGGGTGTAGAGATTACTTAAAAATAAAATAAAATAAAGTGCCCCGAATGAGGGATAAGTGGTCTTTCCTGAAACTCCACTGTTAATTGAACAGAGGAGCTGTGCATTTATTGAAACACATGGATGGGAGGCTTTGTTGAGCTAAAAAGCAAAACCTCAGTGCCCTCTAAATCTTTTAAGTTCCATATGCTAGTAATTTCTATCTGGAGATAAAATCCTTCCAGTGGCTTAGTAGAACGAACACTAGGAGTTAGAAGACAGGGTTCTAGCTCCAGCTCCATTAACTAGCTGTCCGCATAATCTTACAGCTACTTCCCAGAGCCTCCGTTTCTGTATCAATCATGTAAGGGGACAGAGAAGTGATCTCTAAGGTCCCTTACAGTGTTTCTATTAGGGTTAAGTGACCCGCTGTGTATTTGGTACTCCAATCCAGATTGTCGTCACCAGAGATTTTCCATTCTTTGTGTCCTGGGCTTAGTATAAAGTAAACACTCAATTACTGTTAAGGGAAAGAAGTTTTTTTTTATGCATAATCTTGGTGGTAATCAATAGGTAATGCTGAGAAGCATGGAGCTTATAAAAAGCAATCAACATGGAAGACTGATCATACTTTTCCACTTTTGTATGTGTTTGAAATTTTCCATAACTAAGACTTAAAGAAAGCAAAAACTGAAAATGCTTGTAAGTCACAGGAAAAACGCACAGGCCTATATTTTCGTAACAAAGATCAGAAGTGAGATATCAGATTTTTAGCTAAGTTTCTTGATCTGCACAAATTTAAAATCTTGAGCAGTATCTGCTACATCCAGCCACTGAGGTCCTAGTAACCCATGGTTGCTTCAATTTCTTGGATCCTAACTGCAGACTGAGTTACTGGAACCCTACAGAGTTCTCCTGTAGGGAAAAGCCTTTTGTGTATTTAAGGGAGGATTCATGTGCCCCCTGTTGTAGGTCAAAAAGAAATGATCACATCTTATGAAAACAGACAATAGTCAATCGTTTACAGGTTTTACTGCAATTATTTTTAAATTAATTTTTAAATACTATTTAACATAATTTTGTGTTCAGGCAGCATATAGTTTTTAAAAACTTTTTTAAAAAGTTTCTTAAGGGCGCCTGGGTGGCTCAGTCGGTTAAGCGACTGCCTTCGGCTCAGGTCATGATCCCGGGGTCCTGGGATCGAGTCCCGCATCGGGCTCCCTGCTCTGCGGGGAGCCTGCTTCTCCCTCTCCCACTCACCCTGCTTGTGTTCCCTCTCTCGCTGTGTCTCTCTCTGTCAAATAAATAAATAAAAAATCTTTAAAAAAAAAAAAAAAAAAAAAAAAAAAGTTTCTTAAAACTGGGATGAAGAAGTTTTCCTGAAGTACACCTAGAAAACCTCTTGCACCGACGTGTGTCAGACTGGAGACTATGTTGATAAAGTCACACAACAAGATTCAGTATTGCAAAGCGTGCACGTTGTTGAGCCCAGAGAACCTGACAGATGTACTTGAGATATAATGCTTCTCTCAGCATAAAAAATATGGACAATTTCGCTGGCTCTCTCGGAGCTTCCCCCTCAAGAGGATTAGACTATTTTTTACCATTACCGTGCCTCAGGGACAAAGCAGGAACCTACCCTGTGACCCTGCTAGCGGTCTGACGTCAGGAAACAGGCCCGACCTGTTCCGAGGGGCCGGCTGGACCCAGCGCGGGGTGGGTCTTCCGGTGCTGGAGGAGGTTGCAGTGGTAAATGAAGTTCTTGCCGCATTCCTCACATTCGTAAGGCCTCTCCCCGGTGTGAATTCTCTGATGCTTCATGAGGACAGAGCGCCGACTAAAGCTCTTACTGCACTGACCGCACCGGAAGGGCTTCTCCCCCGTGTGGATCCTGAGGTGATGGAAGAGGCCGGCGTTCTGACTGAAGGCTTTGCTGCAGATGCCGCACTGGTAGCGCTTCTCGCCGGTGTGGAGTCTCTGGTGCTGGAAGAGGCCTGACCGCTGGCCGAAGGCCCGGCCACACTCATCGCACTCGTAGGGCTTCTCGCCTGTGTGGGTTCGCTGGTGCTCGATCAGGATGGAATTCTGGGTGAAGCTCTTGCCACACTGACCACAGACATACGGTCTCTCCACAGAAGAGCTTGCCCGCTGCTGCCTTTCCAGTCTGCCCTCGTGGTCACAGGTGTCTCCACACTCAGGCATCCGAGCAGTGCCACCGTTCAGTTTCTGAGGTACTTCCACAGGACATCTCATTTCTTTAGAAAGCTCCCTCTTTGGAGCTAACTCCACATTCCAAGTCCCAGCCTCGTCACCTGAAATAATAAGGGGGTCACGTGAATGTTAGGTTTCCAGAGGAAAAAGGGAAAAACCAGCCGGGAGAGTGGGCGGCAGGGGACGAATAAGCACGGTTTCTGTTTTCTTTCACTTTGCCCTCGGGAAGAAGACAGGCGGACTGTACCGTTCAGTTCCAGAGGCTGTCTGCCTCTTCCGTCAGACCCAGACCTCCTGAGGGCAGGGAGCACGTCCACCTGGCTCGTCACGGGCTCCCCAGGACCAAGCACACCGCCTGGCGCACAGCAGACACCGAACACACGTGCTGAACCGATGGACCCTCGGGGTGAGGGAGGCCTCCTGAGGAAATTCTGATCCTCACCCATCTCCTGAGCCGGGCACAGCTCTCGCGAATTGCACGGACGCAGCTCTTCCAAGGGCTGGAGCCGGCCACCTGATAACTCCTGGGCTGCTCCCCGAGTTGCCTTCTCCTTCGCAAACTCTCCCTGTTCACAAGCATAGATTGGGACCTGGTGGAAATTAAGGACAGTTAGGAATCAAACATCAGAGACCTTTGGAAGGGGGCCTTCCCAGGTCCACTATATAGGAAAAGAAGAACCAAGAAACCAGCAACAAGAAAGAGGCAGAAAGATGGAGAGCCCACAACAGACCACATCACGCGCAAAGAAATCCTCCTCCTCTTCCTCTTGCTGCACTGAAACCCCACACTTGCTCCTGCAGATACAAACCTCTGTTCTCCCATCTTCCACCTGCTCTCCCGGCTCATCCAGCTCCCTCTCCAGGTCCTCCAGCGCAGTCACCGCGTCCTCCCCACTCGCTGGGCAGTGCTCCCGCACCCAGGCCTGCAGCTCCTCGGGCAGGATGGTCAGGAACTGCTCCAGCACCAGCAGCTCCACGATCTGCTCCTTGCTGTGCGTCTCGGGCCGCAGCCACTGACGGCAGAGCTCCTGGAGTCTTCGAAGAGCCTCTCGGGGCCCAGGTGTCTCCTGATAGCAGAACTGCCTGAAGCGTCTACGAAAGAGCTCTCTGGTATGAGGGTTATCTCTTGGCAGGCCAGATTCCTGCCCAGAGGCATAATCCCCCTCTTCCTCTTCTACCTTTACTGCCAGAAGTCCTTCCTGCATCTCTGAAGTCTGAAGGGCCAATGCTGTGGCCATCTTCGGCTTAACACTTCAGAAAAAGAGTCTATTCTCGATGATTCCTCTTTGATCTTTTCTTCTGGAAATCCCAAAATCTAAAAAATAATTGCAGAGAAAAAAATATTAAAATGTTGAAAATCTTTTCTGCTGGCAGGCACAGGGAGTATCTGTAACAAAGCAGTCACTGTCTAGTGAATAACACTGAATGTACGAGTAATGGTAAGGACTACGCAAATTTTTTTTTTTATTATGTTACCGATAGAATGGGAGGAGATATTTGCAAATGACATCAGATAAAGGGCTAGTATCCAAAATCTATAACGAACTCATCAAACTCACCACCCAAGGACTAGCAAATTCTGATGCAGGTGATACTGGAAGGCAAACAGAAACAGAATACCCTCCCTCCCCCAACCAGGTCCCAACACACACACACACACACACACACACAGTTTTATCAAAGGAAGGGACTATTTTGATCATCCTGAATGAATTGTCTCAAATAAGTCAGCTGGAACATAGAGGGTTTCCATTTGAATGGCAAGATAGGAGACCCAGAGTAAGTTTTCAGTTGAATGGAGGTAAACCAGCATTTTGGTGCCAAGTGGTCACAGAGGACACTAAGAATGGGAGAAAAGAGAAACAAAATGGAGAAGGGAGAGAAAGGAAAGAAGATAAAAGGACAGGATGAGGAGCAAAGGAAATGCTCTTGGGGAGGAGAGGCCCAGTCCCCCCAGTCAACTGAGGCATGGAGGAGAGAGGGCTGTTTGGGGTGGGAGAGATCTGGGATAGAGACCTGGTCCTCCAGGCACAGCCTCTGCAGGCCTATCTTTCTAGGTGGAGATAAAAGATAAAGATAAAATAAGATCATGGATAAAGAGCACAAGAGGCTGGGGCGCCTGGGTGGCTCAGTCATTAAGGTCTGCCTTTGGCTCAGGTCATGATCCCGGGGTCCTGGGATTGAGCCCCACATGGGGCTCCCTGCTCTACGGGGAGCCTGCTTCTCCCTCTCCCACTCCCCCTGCTTGTGTTCCCTCTCTCGCTGTGTCTCTGTCAAATAAATAAAATCTTAAAGAAAAAAAAAAAGCACAAGAGGCTGGGAGCTTGGTAAATTCTCAAATCTTGTAAATTACCACTATTGTTATTTTCCTTACAAATTTTATTGAAAGATTAAATGAATCCTAGTGATCAAAACACTATGGCAAAAGAATCAGAAAGTAGTCAACTGAACTGGTCTTGAATCAGAGATGTTAAAATGAAAGAAATATTGAATCTGGTATTTTAAAACAGAGGTAGACTTTGAGCTGTTTCCTGTCCTTAATTTCTTGGAAATTGTTTATTTTTGAATCTCCTTGAGGATGGAGAAGGGGCAACTGTGTGTAAAATAAAATTAATGCTCATAAAGAGACAAGTGTCTATAACCACTTAAAGCTTACGATAAAATCTTAACCAGGATAGTAATTACTGAAAGCAATTTTCTTTATAAGATTTATTTATTTATATATATATATATATATATATATATATATTTGAGAGAGAGAGAGCGCACACAGAAGGAGAGGGAGAAGCCCAACTCGGGACTCGATCCCCAGGACTCCAGGATCATGACCTGAGCCGAAGGCAGACGCTTAACTGATTGAGCCATCCAGGTGCCCCATGAAAGCAATTTTCTGAAAGAATATTATGTAGCCTAGTGATTTTGACCAGGACCCTCAGTAAAAAATATTTTATAATGAAAAAAAAAAAAAAAAAGAAAAACATTTTATATTGAGACCCAGAACACCCATATACATGTGCACATGAATGTATGTTTGTGCATGAGATACACACACACACAAGAAACTGAAATAATAATTTCACAAAACACTATGTATCCTGAATTATGTGACACATACTCCTATTTCTTAAATCTTGCTTTTTTTTTTTTTAAACCCCAAAACAAAACACCCTGGTCACAGCCTACCACATAGACTTCGTGATCCCCATGAGTCATGACCCAGAGCTTTAAAAAGTTTCCAAATTTAAGTAAAATGATTATAATTCACTGTAAATATAATCCAACACTATTCTTAGGTACTGGCACACATGGCAAAATAAAAAAAAAACTAAGGACAGTGTATTTATTATTGAACACAGCTCACACTACAAGAAAAGTTAAATCCATATTCCCACTATTAGTTATACTTATTAAGGAGGGAAAAACCACTGGGGTGGGGAAGCATCCTTCTGAGTAATCTGCAAACATAATCCCCTCCACAAATTTCTAACACGTCTGACTTCATTGACGTCTACAGTCACCACCCCAGGAAAAGTCAAGAGGGTTTTTCCCTCCAAAGACAGGATTCCTGAGCTCTTATTTTTTCCCCCAACTTTTCTTGGTGCTGACTCACTATCACTTTGAGTTCCACATTATCTTTTTCTTTCAAAACTTCTCACACAACTCATTCATTTAGCAAATATTTATTCAGAGCCCATTATATTCCAGGTATTGTTCTAGGCACTAGAAATGGCCAACAAAACAAAGTCCCTACTTTGATGGAATTTACACTCTAATTACAATATTAGTAACAGCTGACATTTATATTGCTTTTAAGGTACCAGGCATTGTACTAGATGTTTTACATATTTTAACTCACTGACTCCTTGAAACAACCGTAAGGTTTTGTTATTACCCACATGTTGACAGATGAGAAAACCGAGACCCAAACAGTTTGAGTCGCTTGCCCAGGGTCTCACATGCAGTTAGTGGTGAAGCTGCATTTCCAACTCAGCAAATCTACTTCAGAATTCATAGTCTCAACCACTACCCCACTATCTCTCCTGTATGTGGGCAGGAAGAAGGGAACAGGATGAAGGAAGGAGCCGACGGGCACAGACAGTAATGAAATAGATGTCAAACAGTGATAAATGCTATAGAGAAAAATAAAGGTAAAGGAGATGGGGAGCAGGGGGAAGAAAGGTCTCTGTATGGAGGAGTCAGGAAACTTTACCTTGCTGATAAGGTAAAGTTTGAGCAGAAACCCAAGGGACGAGAGCAGCAGTCACGTGACTATCTGGAGAAGACCTGTTCCGTGCAAAGGGAAGGTTGAGTCCTTGGAGGTAGGAGCATGCCTGGATTCTTCCAGGAACGGCCAGTTGGACCACCAACATGGCTACACAGAGAAACAAAAGGTACAGTCATGAGAGATAAAAGCAGGCTTTGGGAACAGACTGAGATGCTACCGTAAGGACTCTGCTCTAGTCTACGACATGTGGAAAGCCATCAGAGGTTTTCAGCACAGGGATGACCAAATTTTACTTACATTTACTATAAAAGTTTCACTGGCTGATGTGACAACAGACTTTGGGAAAAGTGGAAGCAGGGAGAGAAGCTATCTAATAATCTAGGGAGCAATGAGGGGGCTTAAAGCATGGTCTGCAGAGTTTGTTCTAGGGTATGGAAGTTCTGGGGTGCAAATATCAAATAGGTCAATGAAGAATATGTGCTCTCAATTAACCGAGCATGCCTTCAAAGGATTAAACACCTACTTCTGCCCTCTTGCTCTGTCAACTTTCTAGGCCCTGAAAAATGTCTTTTTCTTATTTGCTGCCCATCCACTTTGGTTTTAAGTCACAGATTTTCTATTCACAGAAAATGCAGCTGAAGCTTTGAGCTCTGCTCATAGAAAATCATTTCTGCTATATGGTGTTTCAGATTTTTACTCAGTTTCACTATGATCAATCCTCTCTATTCTCTGTATAGTCTAGGCTCCCTTTTGCTTTCCTTTCTTGATTTTGCTTCTGTGGGGTGGCCTAAAATCCCACGGCCTCACACAGCACATCGTAGCTCCTCTTTCAACCCAGTGCCTCTAAAAGGCTTCCCAATTGTTTTATAACCCTGCCCTCCTGGTCACAAACAGTTCTTAATCTCTTTTAGGTTCACCACCCCATTGTACAGGTCTTCCTCGACTTAAAATGGGGTTATGTCCTCATGAACCCATCAAAAGTTGAAAATATCACACGTTGAAAGTGTACCGAATACACCTAATCTACCAAACATCATAGCTTAGCCTCACCTACCTTAAATGTGCTCAGAACATTTATGTTAGCCTACATCGGGCAAAATCGTCTAACACAAATCCTATTTCGTAATTAAGTGTTGAAAATCTCATGTACTTTATTGAATATTGTACTGAAAGTGAGAAACAGAATGGTTGTATGGGTACAGAATGGTTGTATGTATATATCAGTTGTTTCTCATAATTTTTTCTCAAGAAAAGATCAAAACTCAAAATTCATAGTAGTGAACGTGAATCACTTTCCCATCATCGTTAAGTTGAAAAATCATTCTTCATCATTGGGGACCATCTGTACATGCCAGGTATGTAATTAGCATAATAATCTCTCGCACTTAAAAAAAACACATCTGCATTTTAAAGCTGGTTTCTCCTAGAGCCCCAGCAAGCTCAATTCTCCCAAATCTACGATGACTCTCAGGGCGAAATGCTCTTTACCAAGGATAGGCATGTAGGTGAAGACCAAGCAGCATGCAATACAAATGTGTCTTTATCATAACGTATCCCCACGCTCTCCCCTCTGATGTCACCATCTAAGGCCCCCCACTACTTACTGGATGCATCCCCACATTCCTAAGCCTGGCTCAAGACTAGTCACATCTCTAGCCCCACTTGTGGGGCCCCACTCTTGTTTTTCTCTATTCCACATGCAAAATCTGGCAGCTCCACTTAGGCTTTTCTTCTCACTATTCTTTCATCAGGCTTTCCTCATCCCTGGTCTATGCCCATGGTCTTCCCTTCTGCACTTATCCAAACCCTACCCAATTTCTGCACCTTGATTTGAATCTCACATCCTCTGAGGTCTTCCTCACCCATTCCATCCACCCTCTTCCTCCTTCCGGCTCTTAGATCATAAGCCCCACCTTTCACCCTCAGTCACAATCTATCCTGCAGTTACTTCTCATATTTAAAAAAAAAAAAACCCAAAACATACAGAATAAAGAATTCCTTCATCAGAAGTAGACACAAAGATTAGAATGGATCCTTTCAGACTTTCTCTGTCCATCTTTGAGTGCACACACACACAACACAGCTCTTATTTTTCTTATTTATCTGCAATAAGTAGAAGGTACTGTGAGGTAGCAGATCTAGTTGTGAATCCTGACTTACCAACAATGTGATCTTGGGCAAGTTACCTGAGTGATTTTTCTGACCCTCAATCTCATGTACAAAATGAGGACAACTACTCTGTAAAGCTGTCAAGGGTAGTAAATGAGATAATGCACATAAACTGGTTTTGCACACAGGCTGGCACATAATAAGCTTGCAAATCAACCACCTTCTAAAGAAATAATGTGCAATTTTTGGTTTAAGGTGGCTTAATCAATCGCAGCTACCTCCCCTTGGGGCCAAGGTCATGTTTTCCGCGGCCCAAAGCACAGCGTGGTAAGTGGGTGCGGAAACGTGCACTATACGGTGAACACACAAATAAAATCGCTGTTTCATCAAGTTTGCAGACATACTCGCGAAGACAGATCCGTCTTCGGATTCTTCTTCTCCAATCTTAAACCCTAACTGGAAGCTCAGGACTACTGAGGTCCCAAAGGTGCAGGATCAGATTCAAGTGGGAGAAGTAACCCCCTGGGTGGCGGCTGTAACGCTAACGCAGGGTCAGCGCGGCGAACAGACTCTGGAGCCAGACAGCCCGGACGTGCACGCCGACGACAGCAGCTGCATGACCCCGGGGGACTGACTTGACCTCATTTTCTCCCTCGACGTTAAAAAAGGGGGCAGATGGGGGAGCTGACCTAATAGCAGCGCCTACCACCTGGAGTTACGAGAAGTGACTGATACTCGTGAAGTGCTTTCAACGATGCCTGCCTGGAACATGACAACTGCCGTTTAAACATTCGCTACAAAAAAGGAAAATCAACACAGGAGCCTCTGCCGTCGGTGGACCAGACCACGAGAGGCCGCGGCGGAATATAAAACGACCCCTGCTCAGAGCTTAAAGTCGGGCCCCAGCAGAGAGCCCCGGACGCGGGAAAATATCCGAGGCGGCCGACAGGGTGAGCACCGAGCCGCCCGGGCCCCGGACAGGCGGCGGACCGCGGGGAAGAGACCCCGGGGCGGGGCCGGGGCCGGGCCGCCGCCCCGCCTCCCACACTGAGCCCGGCGGCGCGGCGCACACGCCGGCCCCTTCGAAGGCCCTCGGCGGAGCCCGACGCCGAAGCTCACCGGGCATCCGCGGGAGGAGAGGCCACCGGGCCAGACGGCACCACCTCCGAGTCCTTGACAACCGCAACCGAGGAGAGCCCCGCTACAAAGGCCGGAAGTGCGTCACGCGGGCCGCCTCCCGGGGACGACGCTTCCGGCCGCGTTCCTTCTAGCAAGCCCGGAGGTCTCGCGCCTCTGTGATCGCCTCGCGGAATCTCCTCTCCAGGTGGCGTGAGGCGCGGGGAGGCCGCAGGGGGGCAATTGCAATAACGCCAACTTGGCGTTTTGCACCTGTTACCTCATTCATTCTGAATAGCAACTCTGTAAGTTAGGTGCAATTATCCCCATTTAACAAATGAGGAAACTGACGTGCATTCCTTCCGCATTTGTTGTCATTCCTGAAAAGAAATAGTTTTTTGTGCACTTTACTTAATTGCACAAGATATTCCAGGCTCCTTTTATACTTTTCCTGCTCTAGACCTAGAATCCACCATTGTTCCATGAAGCTCTGATTCCTTTCAGTGGAGAATGGTATGCGGAAACCAGTAGGTAAGCTCATTGGCACTGGGATGTATCATTGCTTCTAGGCCCTATCAATGATTATATTTTCTTCAGGATTTTATAGAATGTCTCCAATTCAAATACAAGTCCACAGTTTGTTTGTTTTCATTTACACCATTGCACGTTTGTTTTTCCTTTTCCTTTCTGTTTTTCCCCACGGAAAACCTGGTTCCCAACAGCATCCATATATATTCATCCAATTTGCTCTATCTTAAAGTATAAACAAAATAGTTTCACATTTACAGTGCCGTATCACTAGCAACAATATACCTGATGTGTGGAGTTCAAAATTTCTTTGCTTGCTTTGCTTGTTTATTGGTTCTTGAACTATATCCCATTAGGGGGAGTATAGTCAGAGTACTGAATACATATATTAATTTGAATTCTTTTCTCTTTATAGTTGTTATAAACTTGATATACAGTTAGGATCATTTGTTTCTGTTTGTTTTTCCATTTCATGGTTTGTTTTCCTTTCATCCCTTTTCATTTCTTTTCTGAACATGCAAAACATTTAGTTCAAAATCTAAATGATATAAAAGGATATGTCCAGAGTTTTGCTTCCGTCCCTAACTCCTTTACTCCATATACAGTTGACCCTTGAACAACATGGGTTTGAAATGTGTGGGTTCACTTATACACAGATTTTTTTCAATAAATACAGTACAGTTCTATAAATGTGTTTTCCTTATAATTTCCTTAACATTTATTTTCCCTAGCTTACTGTATTATAAGAATACAGTGTATTATACATATAACATACAAAGTATGTGTAAATCTACTAATTATGTTACTGGTAAGACTTCTGGTCAAGAGTAGGCTGTTAGTAGTTAACTTTGGGGGAGTCAATAGTTATACATGGATTTTTGACTGCATGGGGGTCAGTACTCCAACCCCTGCATTGTTCAAGAGTCAACTGTATACTCATGCCCCATTTTCATTAGTTTTAATTTATCCTGTCTCCTGCATTGTTCAAGAGTCAACTGTATACTCATGCCCCATTTTCATTAGTTTTAATTTATCCTGTCTTTCCTTCCTCTTTCCCTTCTTCTTTCCTCTACTCTCCTTTCTCTTACAAAAATAATCACTTACCTTCTTTACCGCTATGAATTATCATATTAAATACATTCTTTTGCATCTTGCTTTATTGCTTACTAAAATAACCTGGAAATTATTTGTTCACTGAAATAACCCTCTTTTTATTTATTTATTTTTTGCAGTGGCACAATACTCCATCATGCGGCCGTACCATAATTTTTCCAACCAGTCTGTAAGGGATGGGTATTTGGATTGTTTCCAATATTTTGCTTTAACAAATAATGCTACAATGAAAAATGAAGAAAGAGGAGGGAGGAGAGAGAAAGGGGAGTGTCTTTGCAAGCATTGTATTATTTTGCACTCAACAGCAAAGTGTGAGAGTGCCTGTTTTCACATAGCCTCCCCAACTGTATGTTTTCAGGTTTTTGAATTTTGTCAATATGACAGGTCATTGGGTATTTCTTAAGCAACCACAACCCCAATGCTGAAAACCCTGTTAAAAATGGATTCATAGTATACTCCAAAAACTATAAAACATTGAGGAAAGAATTGAAGATGACACAAACAAATGCAAAGAGATTCCATGCTCATGAATTGGAAGAACAAATATTGTTAAAATGTCCATGTGATCTACTGATTTAATGCAATCTCTATCAAAATACCAACAACATTTTTCACAGAACTAGAACAAATAATATTTGTATGGGACCACAAATGACCTTGAATAGCCAAAGCAATCTTGAAAAAGAACAAAGCTGGAGGTATCACAATCCCAGATTTCAAGGTATACTACAAACTTCTAGTAATCAAAACAGTATGGCACTGGCACAAAAATAGACACATAGATCAACTGACAGAATACACAACCCAGAAATAAACCCACACATATGTGGTCAATTAACCTTTGACAAAGGAGACAAGAACATCCAATGGGGGAAAAGACAGTCTCTTCAATGAATGGTGCTGGGAAAATTGAACAGCTACATGCAAAAGAATGAAACTGGACCACTTTCTTACACCATACACAAAAATAAACTAATGGATTAAAGACCTAAATGTGAGACCCAGTACCATAAAACTCCTAGGAGAAAACATAGACAGTAATTTCTTGACATTGGACCGAGCAACATTTTTCTAGATATATCTCCTCAGGCAAGGGAAACAAAAGCAAAATTAAACTATCAAGACTACACCAAAATAATCAGCTTTTGCACAGCAAAGGAAAACATCAACAAAATAGCAAGGCAAAATACAGAATGGTAGAAGATATTTGCAAGTGACATATCCAATAAGGGGTTAATATCCAAAATATATAATTTATGCAACTCAGCACCAGAGCCCCCAAATAATCCAAGTGAAAAATGGGCAGAAGACATGAATAGACATTTTTCCACAGAAGACATACAGATGGCCAACAGACACATGAAAAGATGCTTAACATCATTAATCATCGGGAAAATGCATATCAAAACCACACTATCACTTCACATCTGTCAGAATGGCCAAGACCAAAAAGACAAGAAATAACACGTGTTGGTGAGGATGTGGAGGAAGAGGAACTCTCCATGCATTGTTGGTGGGAATGTAATTTGGTGTCACCACTGTGGAAAACACTATGGAAGTTCCTCAAAAAATTAATAGAATTACCTTATGATCCAGTACTTCCACATTTGGGTATCTGCCCAAAGAAAACAAAAACAGTAATTCAAAAAGATATATGCACCATATGTTTATTGTGACATTATTTACAATAGCCAAGATATGGAAGCAGCCCAAGTGTTTATTCATAGATATAAAAAAAAATGGATTCACAGTGCCACATGTTAGCAAAGATTATTGGAGCAATGAGAACTTTCATACGCTCTTGATGAGAGTGTAAATTGTAATACTATTTTGGGGAAACTCTTTGGCATATCTCTTAAGCTGAACACATACACATTCTATGACCCAGGAGTTTTACTTTTAGAGATAGCTACCAGAAATGAATATATATTTGCATCTAAAGACATGTCTGAGCAGCATTTTCATAGCTCTAAAGTGGAAACAACCCAAATGTCCATTAACAGTAGGATAGATACAAAAAGTAAAGTTTATCCATACAATAGAATACTATGCAACAATAAAAATGAACTACAGCTATAAGCCACAGTGATAATTTTCACAAACATAATAGTGAAAGAAGGCAGACACAAAAAGATACATACTTCATGACTCCATTTACATAAACTTCAAACTGGGAAAACTAATATCTGCTGTTGAAAGTCACAACAGGAAGGAGGATGGAGCACAAGTGGGGCTTCCTGGGAATGGGTAATGTATTTCTGGACTTTGGTGGTGCTTATGTGGGTGGTTTCACTTTATGAATTTCATTTACCCGTACGCTATAACTTGTGTATTTTTTTTTAAAGATTTTATTTATTTATTTGACAGAGAGAGAGGCAGCGAGAGAGGGAACACAAGCAGGGGGAGTGGGAGAGGGAGAAGCAGGCTTCCCGCCGAGCAGGGAGCCCGATGTGAGACTCGATCCCAGGACCTTGAGATCATGACCGGAGCCGAAGGCAGATGCTTAACGACTGAGCCACCCAGGCGCCCCTCGTGAATGTTTTTTTAAAATCAAACCATTTTACAGTTGAAGAAACCAAGGTTCAGAGAAATAAAGTATGCTGCTGAGCTCAGCGGAGCTGGGACTTAAATCCAGGTTTCCTGATCAGGTAGCTTCCTTAGCCCTGAAGGATCCTTTAGCTAGGAATCTTTGCATATGGGTCTTAAAGGGGCCATTCTTTTGTTGCAAGCTTAACACAGTGTTCATTAGACAAAAATATAGTTACTAAATAGTAATACTTAGATACATATGTATGATAATCTTCTTACTTGGCTATCCCACAAATGCTTCTCAAATAGAAGTGGAGATATATATATAAAAATATATATATATATATATAATTTTTTTTTAAGATTTTATGTATTTATTTGTCAGAGAGAGAGCGCACAAGCAGAGGGAGCAGCAGGCGGAGGGGGAAGCAGGCTCCCCACTGAGCAAGGAGCCTGATGTGGGACTCAATCCCAGGAACCTGGGAACATGACCTGAGCTAAAGGCAGACGCTTCACCAACTCAGTCACCCAGGCATCCCGGAGATATAGATATTTTAAAGTCGAAAGAGACCTAAAATTATTATACAAGCTCTAAGGTCATTATATAGAAATATGGAGTGTTTTATTTAAATAAGGTGATTTATAAAATAGAACAGATCAGAAAAATTTGGAACACATCTAAAATTATGTTCTCTCTCTCCCTCTATATATGTTTTATGTGTGTGTGTATATACATTAATCTCTCCAAATAGACAATATAAATAAGTGAAAATAATTCTCAAATTAGGGAGGTAGGAATCTAGAGGAATTTTTTTTCTTTAAAAAATATCCTTTAGGGGCGCTTGATTGGGTGTGTGTTAAGTGTCTGCCTTAGGCTCAGGTCATGATCTCAGAAACCTGGAATCAAGCCCCACATAGGGCATCCAACTCAGCGGCGAGTCTGCTTCTCCCTCTCGCTCCGCTTCTCTGCCTGCTTGTGCTCTCTCTCAAATAAATCAAATCTTTAAAAATATCCCTTATTACCAAATTAAAATGGATTTAAACTGTATTTTTTTCACAAGTCTTTTTAATATCATTAAAAGAAGCCTGTTAAGTTTAAGGGATCTCCAACTCAGGAGTTTTACATATTCTCATTCCCCACTTCCCGCTTTTTCTTCTTGCTCTATTCTCCTAATCTCTTAATATCCATACACCACTGTATCTCCTAGTTCTAATTTTGTTTCTTGCACCCTTTACCATTCATTCATTCATATGTAGATCAGTTTTTTAGCACACATTTAACAATTCAGAGCTCAAAATATTTAGGACTGTTGGCACAGATTGTTTGCCTACCAAATAAGTATTCTTTTTTATTAGATGACAGGACTCCAATTTTTATGTGTACAATGGCCCCTGGAATTACATTTCCTAGCTACTTTTTTATTTATTTATTTGAGAGATTGAGAAAGAAAAGGAGCAGGGGGAAGGAGATTCCCCAGTAGCAGCGAGCCCAATGTGGGGGCTTGATCCCAGGACTCAGGGATCATGATCTGAGCTGAAGGCAGATGCTTCACGGACTGAGCCACCCACACGCCCCTTTTTCCTAGCTACTCTTGCAGCTACGTGTGGTCATGTGACTCAATTCTGGCTAATTAAATATAAGAGGAAATGTGTGCATTCTGAGAAGGCTCCATGAAAGACCCCGAGTTAGCTGAGAGAATCCCTTTTATGCCCTTCCTGCTGACTGGAATGCAGAGTTGATGGCTGGTGCTTCAGCAGCCACAGGAAGAGAAGAAGCTGCATGCAGAAGATGACGTGAGAGGAACCTGGATCCCCGATGACCCTACAAATAAACCACCAACCATAAATGATCTGCTTTTAGACTTCTTTTACATGAGAAATACACCGTGTGAATTTTTCAGATTTTTGTTACTAGCAGCTGATCATAAATTCTGACATATGGGGTCTGCTCCTTGACTTAGTTTTAGATACATACGTATGATAATCTTACTCAGCTATTCCACCTCTTATGTGAGATGCTTCTCAAATATGGAGGTGGAAATATATTTTAAAGTCTAAAGTGGCCTAAAATTATTATACAAGCCAAAAGGTGATTATATAGAAATATGGAGTGTTATTTTTTTTTTTTTTAAGATTTTATTTATTTATTTGACAGAGAGAGAAATAGCGAGAGCAGGAACACAAGCAGGGGGAATGGGAGAGGGAGAAGCAGGCTTCTTGCCGAGCAGGGAGCCCAATGTGGGACTCGATCCCAGGACCCTGGGATCATGACCTGAGCCGAAGGCAGACGCTTAACAACTGAGCCACCCAGGCACCCCGGAGTGTTATTTTCAAATAAGGGTGACAGATCAGAAAAATTTGAAACATATTATCTAAAATTATGTTCTCTAACCTTAAAAAACTAGGGTTTTCTTTTCCTTTTTGTGTTAAATGTGATCCTATCATCTCTGACTGAACTATCTCTGCTTCCTCCCCCAAACACAGATATTTAGGAAACACAATTTGGAGAAAGGGTAGAGAATTAGTCAGCAATGATGCCTATGGTGCCAGAATGAATGTATATGGTCAGGGAAAAAAGGGGAGAGAGAACAGGTGAAAAGTGGCATTGTATTCAGTAATTCATCACCCACTCGGTAAATTATGTCAAAAATGTCAGTCAACCCAGGCTCAAGTGTCCATAGCTTGCGTTACCCTCCAAGGTTGTTACACTTGGAAGTTTGAGCTCTCCCTTGAAACCTGGGGGAAGTTAGGGTCTGTCCATTTATAAGTACACTGGCTAATCAATATAAAAAGGATAGCTCTACCATTAACAGTAATAGCAGACTTAATAGAAATGACAGATAATAATACCCTCAGGGTCACTTGGTCCCTGAAATAAGTCACCTCCCATGTGGGAGCCATGCTAAAGGGGAGTATTCTCTAGTTTATCCAGTTTAACCTCCCAGTGGTATACTCTTTTTGATCCCTGCTACCCATCTTCTAATCCAGGAGAGTAGCTGTATTTTCTTTTGACTTGAATCATCCTCTGCTGTTTGGGGAAGACCTCACAACTCCTCTCCAGAACCAACCTATTTTATTTTTCTCTGCATTAACATAATGGTGCCTGAACAAGGAGCATGTCTTGGGACCATCCCAAGTGGATGTGCAGTGCACGGGGGCACCACTGGACAGGAGGTCCCTCCATCTGCCATTGCAGTGTGGCTTCTATCTGGGTCAGCACTGCAGCCTCTGTCCTCTGGAAGGGTGACCAGTGCCTCAGTGAACACTCACTGTTCTCCAGTGCTCCAGAAAGGGGCTGTCCTTCTCTTCCTGAAGGAGCAAGATCTTACTTTTAGAAGGTAATCCTGATGGTCACCAAGTTAACTGAAAGCACACAAACCTTCGGTGCTCTTAAGTGTAGGTACTCAACAGGGTCATTAGTCTTTAAGCCATGCCATTTTTAGTGGAACATTAGGAACACTGTTATACAACCTCTTGGAGGCTCAGCACCCAGAAAACATCCTTATTCTAAATGGGGTTAGTCAGACATATGTAAAACTTTCCCAACAAAGGAAAAGAGGGCATTCAGGACATGAGCAGGGAAGACAAAGACATGGAAGCCTGAGTGTACTCGGGGTGGCTGGGCAAAATGAGACCAATACAACAGAGCTGCTGGACAGTGAAGGAAAATAACATTGGAAATCCTGGGACAAATTTATGGAGGACACTCCTGAATGTTTACTTTCATTGTGAATAGGATGAAACTGACCATTCTGAAGCTTTGCACTTTTAATTAACTAGCGTTCAGGCCTTGAAACACAATGGGGTTGGCTCATTCGAAAGAGGGAGAATCTACTCTGTGGGTACTCTGATGTCAGAGGAGATTGGGAAAGTGACATATTGTAAGTTCTCACACGGCTCATCTAAATTCTGCCAGGAACAAATGCTGCTCAACATTTTTACAATAATTTAAGCAACGTGGTTTTGATTAGTTGTGTTTTTTTGTTTTGTTTTGTTTTAATGTTGAAATGAGACCTGACCTCTGTTTGAAGGACTTTCCATACTTATTACACACATAGAGTTTTTGTTGTGGATTCTCTGGTGTTCAGTGAGATGTGAGCTCAGACAGAGGGCCTTCCCACACTTGTCACATTCATAGGGTTTCTCCCCAGTGTGAATTCTGTGGTATCTGTTAAGGTCAGAACTTCCACTGAAGGCTTTTCCACAATCATCACATTTGTAGGGTTCTTCTCCTGTATGAATTCACTGATGTTTAGTGAGGTTTGAACTTTCCCTGAAGGCCTTCCCACAGTCAGTGCACTGGTAACATTTTATTAAGCTATGGTATCTCTGATGCTGAGCAAGTCCCGTGCTGTTACTGAAGTTTTACCACAATCACTGCCCTCATACGGTTCCTCCCCATTGTGATTTCTCTGATGTTTAATAAGAACTGAGCCCTGACTAAAACTTTTACCACACTTATTACACTGACACAGTTTTTCATCCGTGTGAATTATGAGGTGCTTAAAAAGAGTTGTGTTTTGACTAAAGGCTCTCCCTCACTCTTGACACTGAAAGAGCTTTTCCCTTGTGTGGATTTTCTGATGTCCAAGAAGACTGATGCTATGCATGAAGCTTTTCCCACACTGATCGCATCTGTGTTGTTGTCCTTCCTCTGAATTTCCTTGATGGCTGCCAACCTGTGCTTGCATTCATGAAGGTCTCCAAAATGGGTCCCCCGGAAAATGTTCCTGCCTCTGCAAATTCTACGGAGTATCATCTTCTGTGATTCCATTCCTTTGAATACTCCCTGCTTTCCAGCCAATTTCCCAGTCTCAGGCTTGGTCTCACTATCTAAAATAGGAAATGGATCATTCAAACATCTTTTATTTAAGCTTTTTATTATGGCACATTTTAGACATACATAGAAGTAAACAAAACGGAAATGTCATCTGTTCGAACTGACAGAATATTACACCCCAAGGGACCATTTTTCTCTTTTTTAGTCATGTTGCCCCAACAATCGATCAATATCTCTTCAGCTCAATTAAGGAAGGAAAGCGCTAGAGAGGAAAGGTGAAACAGACATGTTCTGGAATAAATAACCTATGTCCTAGTCACTAAGGTAGGATCAGGAACAATCTTTATCACGAAAAGGGCACAAATTATTAAAGAGTTTGTTAAAAGTCTAAGTGTATAAAGAGTACTTCAAACTGCATTCAAATACAATTATAGAGGAAAGGCAAAAGTGTATTTATTCTATTGGTTGGAAAGAAAATTCTTTGTCTTAATCTTCCCCCAAAGAGGACATTGTTTGCAGATTCAGTGTAAACCAATAATTACCTTATATTAACTAAGATCAGTATTCCTTTATGAACACAATTGAAAAATACAGTTTTAGTGAAATTTGGCCTGAGAGAGATAAATGTCCCACTGAACTCATTAAAATGAAGATTCCACCTGAACTCAAAGGAAATACTGGAAAAGGACGGATTTCTTGGCTGTTCTGGTCACTTTATTGCTATTTTCTGGACAGACTGTGAAGGGGATCAGGATGTAAGGAGGGGGGTAGCTTTGTAAATGGGAAACACATCTGATATGTAGAGAATGTGGAAAGGAAAAGGTACCAAATGTACACTGGAGTGACATGTAGGGGAAGGGACCAGCGTGAAAAGAGGAGGGAATTTAATGTGGAAGAAGACAGGAGAAATGCAGTCAACGTGAAAGGTTTTAAAGGTGGCTTCATCGCAGATGGGTTGATAAAACTTAGAGGGTAGGGCAAGACACTGAGGCGGCCACTGTAAAGGAGATCATAAAGGAGAAGCAACAGGATGATGTGATCATTCAGTGCTTTAATAAAAAGCAAAGATGGGTATGTGAAAAGCAAATAAAATAAAAACCTTTTTAAAAGGCCAAGAATAAAGGTTGTACTTTGTAAAAAGAGAGGTAGGTAAGCCAGCGAGGATTTGGGGTGAGGGTTAGACACATTCATGATTAAGCTGTAAAGGATGGCTTTGATTAGCCAAGCAGGAGCCCGCTACCCTAACCCACCTTCCCAGATCAGTTCCTCCTCTTACTCTTCACCTCTCTCGTAGGGAAGGGGCTCCAGAGAGGCATCCTTGAGCAGAGTCTCCATGTGCTGGCGCTGATAACTTGGTGACTGGGGTGTGGCTCCCAGGGACATCACCTCCTCCCAGAGCACTTCCTGTCCATCTGCTTGGAATGTGCCCTGGAGACAAGGAGGAAGCATTGGGCTTGGGAAGAAGCTGCTGTTGAGAACTAGAACTAAAACCTTAGGAAACATTTCCCAGGGAGAAACAGGACAGGGAAAAAGGACTCAACAGGCTTAGGAGAGATGAGACAGAAAAAGGAACCAACAGAAACAATGAAGCATCGATGGGGACAAAAGCTCACAGCTGCCCTCACTGCTTTCTTATGAACTTAACCAGTAGATGCTGCTTGTTGCCACCACAGAATACCTCTTCCCACCTGAAATCCCGGATCATCAGACTCTCTTCCAACATAGCCTCATCTCCATTCAGTGGATGCTGCTCCCACACCTGGGCCTGCAGCTCCTCGGGCAGGATGGTCAGGAACTGCTCCAGCACCAGCAGCTCCATGATCTGCTCCTTGCTGTGGGTCTCGGGCCGCCGCCACTGACGGCAGAGCTCCCGGAGCCGGCTCAGCGCCTCTGCGGTCCAGATGTCTCCTGGTAGCAGAACTGCCTGAAACACTGGCCGAAGACCTCCTGACAGGACTGGCTGTTCTTCTGCAAGTCAATTTCTTGTACAAAAAAGTTATCCTCCTCCACCTTTACTATCACAGGTTCTTGTTCTCCATCCTGGATGATGAGAACTGCAGCCATTTTCTCTCAGGGGAGGGGTGCCTGCAGATGGCTTTATACTCCGAGGAGAGTCCCCTTCACAAAATAGAGACCAGTATTAAGATGAAAAATTGCACCAGTTAAAATCTATTATGTACTATTAAAGGCTGCCCAGGACACTTTAAGAAAAACACAACAGAAGAGGTTTTTGAAATTTTGCTAACAGTGATGTAGATGACTTGAGGATCTGACATTCTTGGTAATGAAAATTTATAGGACTATTTTAGAAATTAAGAGTAACCTTTTTCCGGGGCGCCTGGGTGGCTCAGTTGGTTAAGTGACTGCCTTCGGCTCAGGTCATGATGCCGGGGTCCCGGGATCGAGTCCTGCATAGGGCTCCCTGCTCAGCGGGGGGTCTGCTTCTCCCTCTGACCCTCTTCCCTCTCGTGCTCTCTGAATCTCATTCGCTCTCTTTCAAATAAATAAATAAATAAAATCTTTAAAAAAAAAAAAAGAGTAACCTTTTTCCTACGAATCCTCGCTGTGGTCACTCTACTCCAGTGAAATCCTCTTCCATTTTAGACTTGTCAATGCATTCCACCTGCTTGGAATGCTCTTACCCAGATATTAGCATGGGACATTCCCTCATTTCATAACAGCACGCTCAAAAACCATTTCCTCGAGAAAACATTTCTAGAGCGTCCTACATAAAGTGGCTCTCCAACCACCTCCACCCTCTGACCCTTACGACATTGTTCCACCGCCTGACGTCACATGCTACTTGTTGCCCCCACGATAACATAAGCAGGGCTTCATCTGCTCTGTACCCTGCACTACGGTATTGCCAAAACCCTGCCCGATACGCGCTAAGTCATCAGTAACTATGCTGAAAAAAGACCAACGAAATGCATCAACTCGGGCGCCTGGGCGGCTCAGTTGGTTAAGCGACTGCCTTCGGCTCAGGTCATGATCCTGGAGTCCCGGGATCGGGTCCCGCATCCGGCGCCCTGCTCGGCCGGGAGCCTGCTTCTCCCTCTGACCCTCCCCCCTCTCATGTGCTCTCTCTCTCTCATTCTCTCTCTGTCAAATAATAAATAAAATCTTTATAAAAAAAAATAATAAAGTTTCATTGGGCGCCTGGGTGGCTCAGTCGGTTAGGCGACTGCCTTCGGCTCAGGTCATGATCCTGGAGTCCCGCATCGGGCTCCCTGCTCGGCGGGGAGTCTGCTTCTCCCTCTGACCCTCCTCCCTCTCATGCTCTCTGTCTCTCATTCTCTCTCAAATAAATAAATAAAATCTTTAAAAAAAAAAAAAAAAGAAATGCATCAACTCCAACACTTTCTCAGAACTCGTTCGGGAATTGTTTATACTGGGTGATAAATACGATCAGACAAATACAGCAGCGAAAACATTAACTACAATAGGTCCACAACCCCCTTTCCACAACTGTGAACTCCCCCAATGCTCTGAAAACCGGAAGTATTTCCCTGAAGTCACCTGAAGGCAATACTCAAAGTAACAACTATATTAGTAACAAAACGCGTCCTGAAATGACACGAACCTTACAGTCTTGGTGGGAACAGTCCTGTTTCGTGACAGAACTACGAGTCCGTCTGTGGGCTGCCCCAGACTCCTGGGGCGCCAGGCATTCGAAACACCATACAAGCACCGTGCTTTAAAAAAAAATCCCCAAACTCGGGTTCCGGAAACACTTCCGACCCCAGGGACTGGAGAAAAGCTCCGTTTTCTGTACGTCAGGGACCCACCAGATTGCAGGAAAGCCGCCCGTCTCACACTCCGAAGTCCTCCGCTTCGCGACGGCGCTGGAGGCCGGAGCCGCCGAGGCGGGCCGGGGGCGGGGAGGCGTTCACCAGAGACCCACCTCCGGCCGCCCGCACGGCCCGCGGGGCCTCACTCCTGCGGCGCCGGGCGCGAGAGCGGGCCCCTCAGCCCCGGCGACCGCGGCCACAGCCCGGGCCCACCCTCCCGGAAGCCGGAAACGCGCTCCCGGAAGTGCGCCGTGCCCCTCTAGGAGCTCCCGCCTCTATGGTCCGTGGCCGCCCCGGGGCCGCTGAGAGGGCCTCGCCCGCGTTTGTCTTCCTCTCTCCACCTGCCGCCATCCCGACGTCGGCCCCGCCCCTTCCCCCGCGTGCGTGGTTCTCCCAGCGTGCGCGCTTCCGCGTCTGCGCCCTGCTCTCGTAAGCACGCGGACGTGCGCGCTTCCGCGTCTGCGCCCTGCTCACGTAAGCACGCGGACGTGCGCGCTTCCGTGCGAGTGTAGCGTGTGTGCTTCGGAGCGGGACGGGGGCCTCCTGTTGCTGTCGTGCTGCGGGTTGTCGGGGAGCAGGAATCCCGCGTGCCCTCCGAGGTCCTTGTAGGCGGACGAAGAACCAAACCGACGTTGTTAGGGTGGCTGGTGACGCGGGTGGCGGAGATTGCAGCCAGGGCGGAGCGACCAGCGGGACAGTTCGCTCACTCTCCGTGGAGGACAGGGGCCAGGCAGCTGGCGAGACGTCGGGCTGGGCCTTTGAAGGGTGTGCGGGGCTGCAGCTGCGCCCGTGGGGGTGGGGGAGGCGCTCGTTCGTGGCCAGGCCGGGCGGCGGGTGGCCCTGCCCGGGGCTCCTCCGGGATGTGGGTTGTGGTCAGGCTAGAGAAGAACAGGTTTTGTGGTTGAGGTCTATTTTCCCGAATGTAGGGCACCGTGACCCAGAAAAACAGAGGTGGGGCCAAGTGCGGACACCTGTGAGTTTTGTCCGTAAGGTGGCTGGGGAAGGGGGGGCTTTGAATAGACTTTTTTCAGAGATTAACCAGAGAAGATCAAATTTGATACCGTACAAGCGGGAAAGCCAGACAGACGTGAAACTCCAGAGACAGTCAAGCAAAATGAGGTATAAATGTCATCCTCAATTAAGGAGAACCTAGTAGGGGTCTGGGACTTCAAAGGGAAGGAATGCAATTCTCAGGAAGATGAAAGAAGAGTAAATGTTTGATAAACAAATGTTTTCACGGCCACTCAGAAACAATGGGACATAGAGGATTTTGGTCAAACAGGCCTTGCTAGGTTCCGCCCTGTCCAGCGTCCCTAGTTCATACCATAATGTGGTTATCCATGGTGACAGCTCTCTTCCTGGAGCAGGACCTCTATCTAAATTCTTTTTAGCCAGTTATGAGGGAGGTAAAGAACTTTTCCAGAATCTGCTGGGTTTCAATTGCTTTTTAAAAAAGATTTTATTTACATTACATTAAATATTTAAATTCAGTTAGTTAACATATACTGACTGTATTATTAATTCCAGGAGTGGAATCTAGTGATTCATCAGTTGCATATAACACCGTGTGCTCATTAAACCCACTGTCCTCCTTAATGCCGATCACCCAGTTACCCCCTCGCCCTACCCACCTCCCCTCCAGCAACCTTAACTCAAAATAATCTTCATGCCTAGGAGGCCCATCTTGGGGCAGCCCCTACATGATCCAGTTACTTAATGTCTCTGTGCCTCATTTTCATTTTCTGTAAAATAAGAATAATAGTACAGACAGTTATGAGTATTGAATGATTAACGTAAAGAGCCCCTGTGGCCAGGTAGATCCTTCCAAGTCATCTGGAATAATTCTTAAGCATTATTTTTAATGGTCTTAAGGCACTTATTTTAATAGTTAATTTACTATCAGGAGGCATACGAAAATATATTTCTATTTTTTTGTTGTGAACAAGTCTGCAATATTTATCCTTTTTTTGCAATATTTATTCTTATGCATGATCTCTTCTGCATGCACAGATGATTTTATTTCTAGGGGATAGGTTCTCACAAGATTGCTGGATGGACGAATATATGTATATTCGCCCAAGGCGGAGGCTGTTTTTGTGGGACTGAGCCCTTAAATTGTGGAGTCTATGCTAACTCTAGATAGTTAGTGTCAGAATTGAATTGAATTGTAGGCCACCCAGTTGGGGTCAGAGAATTGGCTGGTGTGGAAAAAACCCCAACATACTTGGTGTCAGAAGTGGTGTAGGTAAACACAGCACATGAAGGCTTTCTTGACTTTCGGGTATGATTTTGGTGAAACATAAAGGAGGATATATTTTAGATTATTGTTGGACTTTTCCATTCAGAATAAAGCATCATTTTCTCATATTCTTTTGGACAAAATGGCCCCCCTGAGAAGTCTCCTCAAAGCTCCTTTAACATCCTTGTTCCTCGGGGTGTAGATGGATGGGTTGGCCATCGGAGTAATAACACAGTAAAACAGCGTCAGAGCTTTGGTAAGGTCTTGAGGGCTATCCCCCGAGGGCTGCATATAGATGTAGATGCCTGGGCCATAAAATAAAGACACCACCAGTAGGTGTGAAGAACAAGTGTTGAAGGCCTTAAGTCTCTTATCAGTGGAGGGGATTCGAAATACGGCTTGGGCAATACAACTGTAAGAGATAAGAATCATGGAGAGGGGACCCATTTATCAGAAGGGTGGCCGCCACAGCTAAAGTGACCTCGTTGATCATGGTGTCCACGCAAGCCATCTTAATAAGCCCTGGCAGCTCACAAAAGAAGTGGTCTAGCTCCTGGTTCCCACACAGGGGCAGCTGGACCGTGAGTGTGGACTGCAGCAGGGAATTTGCCAGACCAACGAGCCACGCAGTGCTGGAGAGCTGCAGGCAGTGCTTGGGGTGCATAATTACGGAGCACCTCCGAGGCTTACACACAGCCATGTAGTGGTCTAAGGCCATGATGCCAAGCAGGACACATTCAGTACAGCCTAGCCAGTGGAATATATAGGCCTGGGCCATACAGCCTAGGTAAGTGATGTTCTTGTTGAGGCCCCCCAGGTTTTGGGGTACAGTTATGGTGGTGAAACAGAGGTCCAAAAAGGAGAGGATTGTGAGGAAGAAATACACAGGACTTTGGAGTTGGGAATCTAGTTGGGAAACCAGAGTAATAGCAATATTTCCCAACAGTGTGAATGTGTAGATCAGGAGGGCAAAGAAGAGAGGAAGATCCAACCAAGGGTATTTGGTAAAGCCCATAAAAATGAAATCCTCTGGAAAACTTTCATTCATGTGCTTCATTGAATTTTGATGGGAGACACTTGCTAAAATCAAAGAAGATAAGAGTGATTTAAAAACCGCAAGTTAGCAGAAGTTTTGACGACATGAGGAAGAAAATATATACTTTCTTGGGAGAGAGATGGGTTACACCCTCAATAGAAATCATAAGGTTAATGAATATAATAATTACAATTAACATTATAAAGTAACATTTGAAAGGTCCTTTCAGGGCACCTGGGTGGCTCAGTTGGTTAAGCGTCTGCCTTCAGCTCAGGTCATGGTCCTGTAGTCCTGGGATCGAGCCCCACATCGGGCTCCCTGCTCAGTGGGGAGTCTGCTTCTCCCTCTCCCTCTGCCGCTCCCCTTGCTTGTGCTCTCTCTGTATGTCAAATAAATAAAATCTTAAAAAAAAAAAAAGTTCTTTCAGTAGACAAGTTTCAAATATGTATATTTTTTCCCTAAATCAAAGCACTGTGTGATAGGTTAGTGGACATTATTGGTTATGGCGCTTTTGTATGATTAAAGAAGCCATCGGGAGGTGGGCAGTGTATTCTCCCAGCAACTTTGCAGCTAGGGGTGCATGTGATCTAGATTTGGTCAATCAGATGTTTCTACAAAGGATTTAAATCTTAGTAAAATGAGGCAAAAGAATGAGGAGGGGGGAAGGGACTGTTGGAGCAGATGCCTTCCTGATTATTGTCCCAGGTGACAGCACTAAAGGATATGTCCTACATGGTCTCTTTCTGGAGTGGGATCTTGGCTATATCTTGCTTCCCTTCATGTCTGCTTGTTTGTCAAGTTTGGTTCTTCACCTTTCACTTTGATTCTGTGAACTACCACTCTTCCAATATCTTCTTTCTGCTTAAATTCTCAGAATTATTTTTTTTGAAGATTTTATTTATTTATTTGAGAGAGAGAGTGAGGGAGAGAGAGCATAAGTGGGGTGAGGGGCAGAGGGAGAGGGAGACTCCCCACTGAGCAGGGAACCTGATGGGGACTCAATCCCAGGACCCCGGGATCCCGGGATCATGACCTGAGCCAAAAGCAGACGCTTAACAGACTGAGCCACCCAGGCACCCCCAGAATTATTTTCTTTGTTTACAACCAAGGACCCTGACTAATACAGAAAATAGTACCAGAAAGTGGGTTGAAATTTTCTGAAGATCTCTTGTTAGTCAGGGCACTGATGAGGAAAGAGTGGGACTCCAAGAATTGGAATGTGGATATATGTGGCATCAGGTATTCATGGTTCCCCACCACCCACCCTCCCATTCTAGCCAAGGCACATTTCTTTTGTCTAATAAAGCTGCCTTGCTTGACAATGCTGTCAAGAAGCCTGCTTCTCCCTCTCCCACTCCCCCTGCTTGTGTTCCCTCTCTCACTCTCTCTCTCTGTCAAATAAATCTTAAAAAAAAAAACTTTATAAACTATTCATGGAAGCAAGATATCTCATAAGAGGAAATGTATATAACAGAAAATTAACATACCCACAATTCTCAAGACATAGCATATGGCCTTAAATTTAAAATCAGAGTATTTTGGCTGATTCATGTACAGTCATTTATCCATTCACTCATTAAATTAACATAACTTTTATGCCTACTAAGCACAGGGCACATTATTAGGCACTGCAGGGCAGGAAAACTAACCAGATCTATCCTCCATTCCAAGAAGATTATACACCAGTATCTCTTTACATACGCATAAATAACTAAGAATAACTAAAAATGTGCTAAGTGCTATCCTAGATGTGCTATCCTAGGTAAAGGGTGAAGAGAATTTGGAGGTGGCAGGAATCAAGATGGTGGTGGTATCATGAAGGTGAGTGCTATTGAACGAAATTGCAAATATGAGGTATGAATTTCAGATTAAACATAACACATATAACAAAGGCATTTGTCTACCACAATGGCGTTAAAAGAATTTTGAAAAGGTATAAACTCACAAAGGAGAAGAGGTTGGGAAAGGAGATGACAACAGAGAAGCAATGTCAACAGTATTTTGGAAGCTGGAAAGCAGGTGTTTGGGTGGTGGTTGTCTTAGAAGATCTGAGAAAGCAGAGGCCTTGAGAGGTTTTCATAGTTTTG